CGGGGAGGGAGGGAGAGGCCGCGGCGGTCCCGGCAGCGCCCCGAGAGGGTCCCGTTTCCTGGAGGAGGACAGCTTTCCGGAGGGCGAGCCGGAGGAAAAGGGAGGCGGAGACCTTGCTGGGTGGCTTGAAGATAAGGAACAGATAAACTAGCTGCTGGTTTGATACGAGCAAAATGAACGGTCTTGGTAGCCAGAGGTCGGGATGAGGGCAGCGGGCCGCTAAGGGTGGTTTAGAAGTACGGCTTATGACTGCTCTCCATTTGAGGTCTTGTGGGCTTTTTTACAGCTGTGTGAAACCTTTCTAATATCTCCAATAGTGAGCGCAACCGTGGCTTCACTGGAGTAAAGGGGACTTCAAACTGGTTTTGTGGGAGAAAATAATCTGGCAGAAAATGTGAAGAGTGAATCAAAGAAGAGTTAAACGCCACATGGAAGATCTCTAGGTGTTACTTTCCTGGAGATTGGGCTCTGTGGTGGATGATTAGAAGAAAAAGAAAGAAAGAAAAAGAAAAGCGGTCTCTTGTACTGGCTTCTTGCTACAGTGTCCTTAAACACTGTCTTTAAGGCAATCTGAGGACAGAGGCCATGGCCAGCCAGGCATGACTGAGTGGCTTGGACCAGTGCTGACACAGACGAGAACCGTCGCAGCCCTTAGCTTGAGCTTGATTGAAAACTGTGCCTAGTATTGCTGTCTGGCTCAGGGCTGCCTCACATTATCTGCACTTGACCCAAAACATGCAACCAGGAACGAGTTCTATTAAATGACACTTGATTACGACATAGCAAAGAGTCTTTACTCTTTAAAACAATGTGACTAAAATTCCCAGCAGAGAAAAATGCTGTCTTGAAAGAGGGCATGTAAAAAAGTCTCGAAGATGGTGAAATGCTATGCATATGACTAGTGAGGTAATGAAAGCTTGTCCTAAGCATATAACGTACTGACTGAAAATGGTGTTTATATTTCTGTAAGCTGCAGTAGAAATCTGTCCTATACGTTGTACTTAATAGCTTGTCTGCTTTTATGAGGCATATCTGGAAGTAAAAACGCTTCCATCAGTAGAGATTTAAATATCATTTAAAATTGATCTAGTGGTTTGCATAGATAGGCATTGCGAAACCCAAGACCTTATGTATGTGTCTATAATGTGGGAAATGTGGATTTGTTTTTGCTCTGGGTGGTTTAGAAGGAAGAAAGGAAGTCATATATGTAAGATCTCTGGAAACCTAAGAAGAAATGTTTGGAAGAATCATCTGTGTTTTATAAAGCAAAACCAAAGTTTCGTAGTGGTAGATGTAAATGTTTGAAGGATATCCACAGTTGGTGTTGTTCAGTCATTTACCACCAAAAAAAAAGGGTAAAGCTGAATGCCTCTTTTATTTTTCTTCATTTTAGTTTGCTTGTATATATGTGTGAGGAGGTATGTAATGTTTTATTTGGGAAGGGGAGGGGAGTACAGGCAAGGAATTTTGACAAATCACAAGTCCGAGGATGCAGACTTCTTGCCTACACTTGGCTTAATGCTTGGCTGGTTAGCAAGAGGTGCAAGAGCCAAGTATTGACAACTCTGGCATCTAGAAATGCTCGATGGTAAGGAAGGGTTATTCTAATAGCACTGAGTGGTGCCTGTTAAAAAGCATGTGTAAACGTACAAAACATTGATTATTGTGGATTGTAAAGTAATGCAAAAATAAAAGCTTCCTAAAACTAGAAAAATAAATACTTTTGTAACTTTCTTTAACACAGAAACAGTTTTTAGTTTATTTCAAGATAGCATAAATCTTGGAATCATCTTCCAGTAATCTGTATCTTAGGGCTTTCCAAAGGTTGTGTTTGCATCTCTTCACTTAACAGCCCATGGCCATCTCCAGAGGCTGTCTGGATCTATACTTTTAATAGCTCTTGATTCACTTTCTGACATTGCTTTGTCTAATCATGTTTTGATGATGTCTTTATATTTGGAATATATAAATGTTTTGTATTTATTCCATATATATCTTGGAGTCCACAAGATGCTGGAGCAATTAACTCAATAGGTTAATTATGTCTTGTGAAAATATTGTTTCATTTACTTTAAACCTGCTCTTATATAATTTCACGGGACGTCTCTGAGCGCTCTCTATTGAGAGTAATGGCTATTTGTCTTTCCCTGTTCACCTTCTCCATGTTTTCATGAAGGCATAAACTTCTGTCATCTCCTCTCTCCATCCTTTTTATTTCATGCCGAAAGGCTGAATTTGTTGCCTGTGTCATGCAGGAGGCGTTCCACCTCTTTGCTGTCCTCATCACAGCTTTCTGCACCTTTTCTAGCAGAGGGTGGTCCGGGTACATGTAGTACGCACAGGTTATGCAGGCACAGAGCAATGTTTTCTGTTGCATTTTCTAGTCATTTTTTAGTAATTCCTACTTACTTGTTTTTGCCTTTTGAATACCTCAGAGCAATGAGCTGATGGTTTCCATAGTCACTCCAAGATTCTTTGCTAGGAGTTTCTAGGAACCAGAACAAGTACCTCCCAAGAGGGCATATATGCCTTTATGCTTGAAGGGGTATACTTGGACTAATGTTCCTCACCGTGCATTAATATGCACCAGCTGACGCTGAGGTTCGTTTGCCATTTTACTATCCACTTAGTTGGTGTGATAAGATCTTGCTGTTCCTCACAGTGAGGTTTAGCTTTGACTACCATGAAGCATCAGTTTTATGATGTGCTATTCATAAGCATTTTGATTTTTGCCAAATCATATGTCTGGCAATCTCAGGTTATTCATCATTTTTCCTTAAAATGAGGCTCTTTCAACATCTAACAGCTTATTTGCTACTTGTTATGCATAATTATTTTAACCAACTGGAAATGTAACTGTAGACTCAGATTATACTTTGGAAATGGTTTTCATATCTTCTAGACTGAGCTAAACTTGTGTCACACCTGACATTTTGCACCACCGTTAGCAGTAAAAGCACCTTCCCAGTTCAACTCAGCACGTATAACCGGTTTGTCTCTGAATTTTTCAAACCCTCATTTTAGTCGTAGTAATGCCAAAAATATCGTACTTCGTTAGCCTTTGAGTGAGCTGTTTTATCTCCTTTGATACCATTATACACATTGAGTATTTGAAACACATGCCCAGCCATTGTTTCCATGTTCATTCTAATTGCCACCCCAGCCTTTAAAAAATCAGTCTTTGCTTTTTATAGGTTTTTATAGAATGGTCCCTGAAGTACTGTTACTAAGGTTTGGTGCATACAAACACAAGGTCACAGGAGCTTTAATCTGTAAAGTCATTTTCCAGGAACATTTTATTTACAAAGGACAAATTTTTATTATTCAACATAAATACTTTGTTTGCTACTGAATCATCTTTCAGCTTTTTTAGCTAGTTGCCATTTGATAAAATTACCACTGCGGTTAAATGCTGTAGGAGAAAGATCAGAGGATGTGAGGCTTGCCTGAGTATGATAATAGCACTCAGTGTGCTTTTCACTCCAAATTTAATGTAAGAGCTGCAAAGATCCTGATTTATATTGATGTTGCTGTACCTCACTGGCACTGGTCGGGTTGCAGGCACCAATCCTATAATCTTTACAGTCTCCAAAAGCATGGCTCTTAAAGATACACAATAGACCAGAGCTCCAATGGACAGTGGAGGGTTTATAGAGGAGTGTCATGATTTTCTCTGCTTCTGCGGAACGTGCTCCCCACTGTCCCTCAGGAAGGCTCTCCCCCAGGAGAACAGTTGCAGGGTACAACCAGAACTAGGGGCAGGCGTTGCTTTTGCTTGATCCCTGTCCCTTATCCAGCACATTACATGTCAGCGAATGCATCATTATCATTGAAGCAAAGTTTTATCAGGTTTGCTGGGAACACTTGACCCTTTGATGCTTGTCTGAGGAGGGCCTTTGTCCTTCTGCATCTCTTGGAGCACACAAAGCATTGTTGAAGCCCACAGTAGTTTACTTATGCAGAGATAAGAGTAGGAAGAATCCAGCCAGAAGCTGGTGGCAAACACTGGAGGCAAGGGAGAGAAATTGCTAAAGGCAGAACTGACGGAGCAGCACTAAGAGGGGCAGGCAGTGCCAGTAAAGCCTGAGGAAAGGCTGGATGTCAACAGTGGGAGAAAGACTAAGTCTGCGCACCTTGCAGAAGAAAGGGGAGACATGGAGGGGAGTGTAGGAGTTAAAATCTTTGCTGTAAGTCACTGGACTCTGACAGGAGCTCAAGGGAAATGGAGGGGGGAGTAAGCAGCAGCCAGGAATGATGGATGGCTCCCCCATGGGAAGTGGGCTGGATTTTGCACCATTTTAATTCAATCTGAATAAAATAC